GAACGTGGAGGTCCGCGCGGATTTCTTGAATCGGCGCTGGAGCCCCCTGGCAGCGCCTCCGGCGCCGCCCCGCCAGGGAGGGGGGTGGAGTGCCGATCTGAGAGGACCTCCAAATTTGTATGTTTATGTCATTCTTCGTTCCCCTGCGGGAGAGTCTCTTGGGGCCCGTTCGCAATCAGGAGCTCCTCAATGGCAAGACCTCTTAGCTCGATTCTGAACAGGTCGATCAAGTGCTCGAGCTTCTCAACGGGGCCAAGTCCAGGCGTGATGTGCCCCTCCAAGTCAGCGCATTGGTCTGGAGGGTTGAACAAGGCGTGGTGAATGAGCTCGAGCGAAGGAGGGCGGGCCAGAAACGGGGTCGGCACGGGCGGCCGCGGAAGTCTCGGCAGTTGGAGGTGGCGCGGCAGCGGCTGCGGGGGCAGCGGCTGCCAGGCGGGGCGACGATCAGCGTGAGGGGTAGCCGCAGGCGGCCTCCTAGGCCGGCGGCGCCGCCGAGCCTGGGCGATTCGCGCTCCAGAGCAACGCCGCTCTCCAGAGGCCAGGGGGCGGCCCCCCGATCGTCGATCGCGCCGCCAGACATTGGGTGGTCAGCATTTTCAGGCGCGAAGCCTAGTCTCGGGGCACGTTCAAAGATGCGTTGCCATCATTGTCCTCGGATGTCTCGACGGCTCATGCTGCGAGGGCCGAATGGTCCAGTGAAGCAACGCAGGCACCAGCGTGGCGCCCTTGCTCGCCCCTTGCGCTGAGCGGTGAAGGCCGGGGCCCACCAGGGAGGGTGGCGCTCCTAGTTCGGGGCCGCCTGCCAGCTTGGAGTGGTCATGGTCACGAACTCGCGCTGAGACGTCAGCTGCGCGCTTTTTCTTAAGTTCAAGGAGCTGGGTGCGGTCGCAGTCTGCAGTGTCAACCACTACGATGGCGATGGCGCGTCAGTCAGAAACCTGACGATCCGGAAGGCCCCGGGGGCGGACTGGACGACGCGCAGATGCCCGTGGACATCCGGGTCCGACCTCAGCATCGGACCCTTGAGGCCTCGACGGCGTTCTCGGGGGCGGGGGGGCCTGGCGATGGCGACTGCCAGTGGGCCCTTTTTTGGTGCGGGACCAAAGGGGACGTCGGGGACCTCGGGGAGGGGCCGCGCCCGCGGTTGCCCACCTGGGGGTGGACATTCGCCTCGGGAGTGCCTCGAAGAAGCCTCGGTGGACTTAGAGCAAGGGCCAAGCCTTTGGCTAAGTGTTCTCTCAGGCGGCAGCTGCTTGGGGCGTTCAACGCCAAGCCGCGGCGCGAGACGCAGTCAGATTCAGCCAAGAGCAAGTCCAACAGCCTAGGGCTGCGGGGTCCAGAGACAGTGGCGTCGCGCTCCGCGGGGCCTCCATGGACCGTGCGTGGCTCTTTCCGGATGCAGGGGCCCTCCGCGTTGCTGCTCATCCTCTGGTCAGGTTTGCCGAGGAATGGTGGGTGGTGAGCCGAGAGTTTGGCCGCGCCGACCAACGCGCCCATGGCGCTGCCATGTCTGTCTCCAGTGAGACTGTCAATTCTGGTCTCATTAGGATCTTCGATCGACATTCTTGACGCTTTGCGTATCCCCACCAGCAGCTGCATCAGCTTCCCTGGGCGTTGCAGTCCAGCCAGCCAGTTCCACCAGCAGCAGCCCCTCAGCCGCCGCTTCTGAGTGCTCGCTCAGTAGCCAATTAGGCTGGCCCGCGCCCCGGACCCCCTCTCGGCCACTGCTTCACGCGTCTGCCCGTGACCAAAAAAAAGTATCCCCACCAGCCCATCCAGAAACGATGCCCGTGAGAGTTGACGGGGGGAGAGAGGAAGAGACACGCATAGCCAAACAGCGAGGGAGGCTTGGGAGACTCCGTGGCCATCTCGAGCCGTCTTGGAGCGGTCTTGGGGCCTCTTGGGGCATCGTGGGACCATCTTGAGCCAGCTTGGACTATCTTGAGCCATCTTGGAGGGCATCTTGGGCTCTCTGAGGCCGCTTGGGGGCCATTTGGGGGCCTCTTGGAGGCCTCTCGGGGGCCTCTTGGAGCCCTCTTGGGGCCTCTTGGGGCGCTTGTGGAGCCCTTTTGGGGCCTCTGGGGAGCCCTGTAGGGCCTCTTGGGGCCATCTTGGAGGCGGTCGGTCAAAAGAGGGGAGGTTACTCGATTTAGGTCCCCCCCCTCGGGGGCCACGATCCTCGTGAGGGGTGGCAAAGGATGGCGCTCCGAATGGCCCAAAAGGGAGCCTCCGACACCTCGCGATCCCTTCCAGAAAACCTCATGGAGGGGAGGGGGAGGGTTCCCCTCCCCGAAGGGAAGAGGGGTTGTGGAAGAGGAAAGAGACCCTCCTTAGACCACCTGTCGCTCAAAGGGCTGGTGGGATTCGAAGAGATGGCATTTTAACTGCAGGACGCTTGCTTATAGCGAATGTTTGGGATTGTTGGGAATCGGGTGGGAGATCAAAAGCCCGGTGTATTTCGTCCATTTCAGGTGATACAAATTGTTCTTGCTACCCGCCGCCCCAGCTATGTAACATATCCCTTTTGCGCCCTATCTCAAGGGCACATGTGTGCAGCGTGAATCCCAGCCCCGGGATGACAAGATATATTGGACCGCGGCATCTGGCTGGATTTTGTTAAGAAGGCACTGGCGCCCATTCGCGCGATTATCATCCCACGTTGGTGAATCTAGCCAAGTGGGTTTTCAACGTGTCAGCCTTCTACTCGCATCGTCTGCGCAGGGGCGCCCAGTGGCGCCGCGTTTGAAAGTGCTCGCGCGGAAACACTATCAGGGAGTAGTCCGGAGGCTTGGTGCGTCAGGCGGTGTGTGTGGGGGTCACTTACTCTTCACTCATTGCCTGAATTGCAAAGCTCAATGTCGCGTAATGAGACTCCGCCCGGCATGCCAAGTTATTCGGTGAGGCTGGAGAGCCAGCGAGGTTTTCAATGCTCCTATAGAGGCTATTCTGTCTTAAGATGGGGGCTGCTTGCTCCCGAGGCACGTTTGGACGCTTGCCCGTGCGGGCGGCTCTGCTGTCCAACTTGGTGAGGGAGGCGTCCTGGCCAGAGGGCTCCTTGCTGGCGTCCCACTCGCCTTGCCCCAGACGGCCGGCTCGGCTGAACGCGCCGCGGGAGTTTTGGCTATTGTGTGTTTCGGGGGATGGTCTTTTGAGCCCGGATCTCCAGGTTGCATGCCAGGTTTGTTAGGGGACGTCCATGGCGAACACTTAGCCGAACTTTGGCCCTAAGCGTGCCAGCGGTCATTTGTGGCGCGCCATATCCAGGGCAATTGGCCCCCACAGAGCTGTTGAGCTCACCCATGGCAAAGCCTATGGGCGTGACGACGAATCCATCGATGAGGCTGACGCCTGCTGAATTTAACGGAACCGCTGGGCGGACCACTATGCTAAGATTGTTGCCCACGAGGACGGCGGCTTCGCGAATGCAGGGGCTGAGTTTCTGTTGAGGTCCACCACGGCGCATGCTGAGCTTGCGTGAGGGATTGGCAAGGCGTTGGCGGCCTGGCCTGCTCCTGCGGAGCAGATGGAAGGAAGACGGCCCCTGCCTGCCCCTACCGCCCCCCCCCCCCCACGAGCTTGCGTGGTGGAGTGGGGTCTCCAAGTGTGCCGTGCGGGCCCTCAGTCCAGGGGTGGGGTCGTGGTTGCAACCCTTCCCTCCCCAGCCTGCTGCTGATGACCACCGAGGTCACGCTCTCCATGTCTCCAGTACGGTTGGCCCCGACCGCCCAGCAATCTGGTGCGCTCGCTGCGCAGGCAACGACAGACGGAAACGTGGGCCCAGGCTCTTGTGCAAGCGCCTCCCGCGCGGCAGACGCAGCGAACGGCGCAAGCTTCTGACAGGGGTGCTCCTAGGCACGCGTCTGACCATGAGGATCCCGCTGGGGCAATACGCAAGCTTGTTTCCGGGGGAAGCTAGAATGGAGAGGGGTCAGGATCGGCCTAACGTTGCGTCGGGTGCCACTCTGTTTCTTTCTGTAGGGAGGGGGTAGTCCACGCCGCTTTTCTGGATTTGTGCCTGTATGAGACCCAGGACGTAATTGACACCTGAGAGCTGAGGACGAAGGGGCGGCGAAGGGGCGACGAGGAGGAGGAGGAGGAGGAGGAGGAGGAGGAGGAGGAGGAGGAGGAGGAGGAGGAGAAGGAGGAGGAGGAGGAGGAGGAGGAGAGTGAGGGTTGAGGTTCCTTCTTCGAGACGTTTCGGTGTTTTTTTCTGCTGTGTCTGGGTTTCTGGAGGCTTCCGAGGAGGGAGGAGGGGGGGAGGGCAAGAGGCCGAGGAGGATGTGGAGGATGAAGTGCAGGAGCAGAAGGAGGAGGAGGAGTTGAGGAGGAGAATGAGGAGGAGGAAGAATTTGAGGGGGAGGAGGGTGCGATGCAGGAGGAGGAGGAGGAGGAGGGGGAGGAACAGGAGGAGGACGAAGACGACCATGAGCAGGATGCGCAGGAGGGGTAGGATGATGAGGAGGAGGAAGGAGAGAGAGAGAGAGAGAGAGAGAGAGAGAGAGAGCGAGAGAGAGAGAGAGAGAGAAAGCGAGAGAGACAGAGAGAGAGAGAGAGAGAGATATATGGATGGTTTGAGGGATGGAGGGAGGGAAGAGGAGGGAGTGGAGCGGGGATCCGGGAGGAGCGCTGGAGAGATGGAGGGCAGAGGTGAGATGCTGGGTAGGGGAGTTTGAGGAGGGAGGGGGAGGCAGGCATGAGCGGGGAGGACAGACGGGAGGGGGAGGGAGAGGGGAGAGACGACTTGCAGGAGCATGGAGAGAAGGAGTGGGAGGAGGAGAAGGAGAAGGAGGAGGAGGACAGGAGGAGGAGGAGGAGGGAGGAGGAGGAGGGAGGAGGAGGAGGAGGGAGGGAGGGAGGAGGAGGAGGAGGAGGAGGGAGGATGAGGAGGAGGAGTAGGAGGAGGGGAGGAGGGAGGGAGAGCAGGGAGGAGGAGGAGGAGGAGAGGAGGAGGAGAGGAGGAGGAGGAGGAGGGCTCGGCGCCCCCCCCTGCCCGTCTCCAGGATACTGGGCTACAGCGAGGGCGGCACGGTGCCGTACCACCTCTCCGAGGCGAGGGTGAAGGAGGCGTGCCCGCGGCGCGGCCGAGACCCGCTCCGCGGCGGCCTACTCCCCTCGCAAGGGGGTAAACACCGACGCGCCGATGTCCATGAGCATATCGGGACATATGGAACAAGGAGGGGAAATCGAACATCCAGAAAGTATGAATGTGTAATATATATATATATGTATGTATATATATATGGGGTAGTATGGACTTCGTACCTCTCTATATTTACACATGCACATATACAGATACAGATACATATATATATATATATATATATACACATGTGTAGATGTGTATTCCTGGGCGCCTTTACCCTCTCGTCCTCTTCAAGAGCCAAGCCATGCGCAAACCTGGTTGCTCGGAGCTCAGCCCAGAACTTCTTGGATCGGCGCCGGGCCCCTGGACCTCCGAGCGTCACTGGTTTCGCCAACATGTCGTCGTCTGAGCATTTCGAGGGTAAATGCCCTCCCCCGTTCCCCCCCCCCCTGGGCTCAAAATTATGAGCGCGGAGATGCACCATCGTTTTTTCGGCCCGAGTGGGTGCATTCTGGTTGCCGAAGCTTCTAGTCATCAGGCCCTGTCCTGTGCGCTGCTCCTCGAAGTGTTTTCTCCTGTCAGGCCTCCACGCCCTGTCTCAGGCTGAGTTCTCTGTGGCCCAAGCCTTGTCGTTTCGCCGTGCTCCTGTCTCCCCTGAATCTCAAACAATCCGCGATCTGGTTGTCACGATCGCTGACGACCGCCTGCGCGTTGTGGCATGTTGGGGGCACCCAGGTTTCCATTGTCGATCATGGGTTGCATTTATACAGTCGCGCCGATCATTACAAAGTTGCGTCTCCTTCTCCCACTCCTCCCTGCTGTCCTCCCCTACCCCCTCTTCCCATTGCCGCTAGTATCCCTGATCCTGCTGACCATGCACTACCCATGTCCTCCGACGTCGCGTTTTTTTGGCAACGTGGCCGCCCAGAGCTCTGGACCTTTTCCCCGGGACCGACTCTTCATCCCGAGTCGTCGTTTGCGACGGTCCCGCTACCTGGCGAGCGCCTCCAGCGGCCGAATGTGCCCAAACTGTCCGCCGTGATGTTGTCCACGACGCGAGGGCGGCTGGGGTCTTCCCCGCTCCACCCCACGGTTCCCTTCTGAGTCCCCTCGGCATCTGAGCCCGTTCGGTCGCCGACTGGGCAGCCGAACGGGTTCGGCTCCGACAGGGTCGAGAGAATTTTAGAGTCCGTTCGGCCGCCGAAGGGGCTCGGTGGTGAGTCCACTCGGCGGCCGAAGGGGCTCGGCCGAACAGGCTCAAAAGGAACCCCTGGGGCCAGGTGTGCGCGGCCCGCCAGCTGCCGTTCCGCAGCGCCAGAGATGCTGGGGCCTCCCTGAACGTGGCCACCTGGGACCTGGCCCGGGCGTGCATCTCGAGGCTCCTCGCGGCCGCCGAGGATCGCTGGGGCGCCCCAACCGGCCCGCGGTAAGTTGTTGACTCTTCGCGTGTCCCCACCTGCCCATCCAGAAACGATCCCCAGGAGAGTTGAACAGATCAGGGAAGTCTGGGAGCGAGAGGGGGGCAGCTGCCTTCTTTCAAGGCGGAGGAGGAGAAGGAGGAGGAGAGTAAGGAGCAGGAGGAGGAGGAGGAGGAGGAGGAGGAGGAGGAGGAGGAGGAGGAGGTGGGGACGAGGAGGGAGGAGGAGGAGGAGGCAGGAGCAGGAGGGTGGAGGAGGACGACATGGAGGAGGAGGAGGAGGAGGAGGAGGAGGAGGAGATGAGGAGGAGGAGGAGGGGAGGAGGAGATGGAGGAGGAGGAGGACGAGGAGGAGAGCTGGAGGAGGAGGAGGAGGGAGGAGGAGGGGAGGAGGAGGAGACCGAGAGGAGGAGGAGGAGGAAGATGAGGAGGAGGAGGAGGAGAGGAGGAGGAGGGAGAGGAGTAGGAGGAGGAGGAGGAAGAGGAGGAGGAGGAGGAGGAGGAGGAGGAGGGAGGAGGAGGGAGGAGGAGGAGCATGAGGAGGAGTAGGAGTAGGAGGAGGAGGAGGTCCTACTGATATCGGCTAAGCAAAACATGTGTCGAGCCAGCTGCGCAGGTCGGCTCGTTCGGGAGATCTCAAGTGCCTGCAAAGGCAGATCCTCCCTGTGTTTGTGGCTTGCTCCACCAGTCTCTGTCTTTCTCTCGCAGTTCCTGGGTACGATGCCGACAGATGGTCATGCACGCAGCCGCAGCGCTGCTCGAGCCTCGAATCGCAACCAGACAGTTGATGCTACCAGCGCGGCCCTCAACTCCCTTGACGAACGAGCAGTCACAATTCCGATTGCAAGCATATTTGGATGCATTTCCGGTCGCAAGCGAGCCAGCCGCATCCGACCCCGTTGGTCGGTGGTGTTGCTCTTTCTCACGGTGACGGTCATGCAGGCTGGCCGGCAGGCCATCGCGACAGTGACACAGGAGCTGGCATTTATTCCGAGATTCTCGATGACGGCGGCGACTCGGTCGGGGCTGTCCGCATGTATGCCGAGACGACGAAGGAGGGCTTGTTCGCCGCCGTCTCCAAGCTCGAGATCGGAGTCACCAGCCTCGCTTCTTCCGTATCCGACACATTTCAGAGGATGGGCAAACACATGGAGCGTCGCATGGCCAGCGTCGACGCTCGTCAGAACTAACACAATGCATCGCTCGCCCAGCTCGGAAAACACAGCCGTGACCTTTAGCAGCATCTTGAAGTCCCTCAGAAGGAACAGCCCTTTGTGGTGCCGCCTTCAGACACATCGTTCAATCGTCAGCCAGACACCTCCGTCATCATGGCCCGCACGAAGGAACCCGTGGGCAAGCACGCGCTCATTCACGTGCTGCAGCCGTGGTTGGATCGCGATTCGTTGGGGTCCAGCCTGTGCCAGCTTGAGTGCGCGCCTGTGGACAAGAGGTTCTTATTCCACGTCAAGGGCCAGCGTGCGCTGGCGGCCAGGCGCGTCAGCCAAACCATGGGCGCCCTCCGCCTCCCTAGCGGGGCGTGGCAGCGCTTCAACGCCACGACCATTCTGCACAGATCAGGACACGGAGGTCTTCGTCGCTGTGGACAAGAGCCCAGGGATGGTGCGCACGGGGGTCATGCCCAAGCCAGTGCGTGCCAAATCCGTGGGGCTGCATCCTAGGGCACGGCCCTTTCGCGGACAAGGCGCTCGGATCCATCTCGTCCCAGTGGAAGCAGTTTGTCCGTGTCTCGGTGCAGAGCTCAGCTGCGGGTCCATCCATCGAGTACTGCTCTGCAAACTTGGCCGCTCTCGATTTCAGCGAGTCCGACATCCGCCAGGCTATGTTGTCCATCCGCGGCCCGCGGCAGGATAATGTCCAGTGGTGTTCTTCGTACCTTCCTTGAGACATGGAAGGGTTCATCGCCGTCGGTTTCGCCGCTGAGCCTCGCGACATGGAACGCCAGATCTCTTCTCTTTCATAGCCTTGGGGTTATTTGAAAAAGCTGCTCATCTGAAAAAGCTGCTGTCGCGTGCCAAGAAGCTGGCTCATTCGAAAAAGCTGCTGTCGCGTGGGGCGCTGGTTGCAGTTCCGGAGAGGCACGGCACCGAGCTGACTGCGCAAGATGTGTGTTGCCATCTCCGCCGCGCTGTCCTCGCGTTCTCCACGTTCTCCGACGGCGGCTCCGACGATGCCGTCGACGGCCCGAGCGCCCGCGCGGGGGGCGTGATCACGTTCGTCCCCGGCCTCGCCGATACCCATCCCGCTCATCCTCCTCAACTAGACCATATACTTATAGTTCCTGGCAGGGCCCCGAGGGTCTCCGTCGAGTTCTCCGACGGGGCTCGGGTTGCGCGCAACAATATCTGTAGCCATGGCCTGCTGAACCCTAGGGAGTCCTGAGGAATCCTGGGGGATCTTGGAGGTTCCTGAGGAGTCTGAGGAATCCTGAGAAATCCTTGTGGGTCCTGCGGAATCAGGAAGAAGCGCGAGGAAGCTTCTACGAATGCTCTCAGAAACCTCTACGAAGGCTTTCAGAAACCTTTGCGAAGGCCTTCAGAAGCCTTTACGACGGCTCCCAGAAGCCTTTATGAATGCTCTTAGAAGCCTTCACAAAGGTTCCCAGTCGCCTCTACGACGGCTCCCAGAAGCCGTTCACAAGCCTCTAAGAAGGCCCTCGGAAGCCTCTCAGAAGCTCCCACGAAGGCTCCCAGAAGCTTCTCGGAAGCCTCTACGAAGGCTTTTAGCAGCCTTTGCAATGGCTTTCAGTCGCCTCTGCGAAGGGTTTCAGAAACCTTTCACAAGCCTCTACGAAGGCTTTCAGAAGTCTCCCAGAAGCCTCTGCGAAAACACTCGGGCCTCTCAGCTGCCACTACGAAGGCTCTCATAAGCTTACCAGAAGCTTCTACGAATGCTTTCAGAAGCCTCCCAGAAGTTTTTAAGAAGCCTCTACGAAGCCTTTAAGAGGGCCCCAACAGGCTTCTCAGAGAGCCCCAAATTCCTTGAAGGTTCTCTTGTAGAAGAAGAAGATGACAAACTTGACTTTTACCTGGCTAGAATTGCTCCCAACGGCCGGGCTTGGACCATTCACCGAGCCCGGAGAGGTACCATGTGGCCCGACTTCGTCCTAACATCGACCCCCCCCTCTTCGCCGGGGAGAATTTGCAAGTGGGGTCTGGAACCCCCCTCCCCCCCTCTTTGGGAAGATTAGCGGGGGGGCCCGCCGGACCCCCCTATTGGGAAAATCATTAGGATGTCCACAACGCCCCACCCCCCTTCCCCTGGTGAAGACGACGACGATGACAACGACAACGGCCACGACGACGACCGCAACGACGACGACGACGACGACGACGAAGACCACGACGGCCACGACGACGACGACGACCACCACCACCACCACGACGACCACGACAACGACGAAGACGACGACGACCACGACAACGACGACGCCGCCGCAACCGCCGTTGCCGTTGACGACGACGATGACGACGACAACGCACGAGGCACGACGGACGACGCACGACGACATATCATGACTGGCCGAAGATGATCGCATCTCTTCTCCGACAGCGAGAACCTAGTGGCGCGCGAAGCGCGCGTGGTTTTAGTGATGATGAGCATGACGATGGTGATGATGGTGATGAGGACGAGGATAATGAGGAGGATGCTGCAGAGATGACGATCAGGATTTTGACAATGATGCGAATGAGGATAATAGAGATGGTGGTGAGGATGACGCTGATGTTGATACTGATGCGGATGACGACCAGGATGATGACGCTGGTGACCATGATGGTGATGATGATGCGGGAGAGGAGGAAGAGAAGGAGGAGGAGGAACACTATGGGATTGATGGTGGTGATGATGCTTATAAGGACGGTGATGCTGATGATAATGGTGGTGGTGTTGATGATGATGGTGAGGCTGATGATGTTGATGCCAATGACGATGATGATGCTGATGATGTTGATGGTGCTGGTGGTGATCGTGACGACGGTGATGATGTTGCTGGTGATTATGATGATGGTGATGGTGATGATGATGCTGTTGATGCTGATCTTGATGATGATTACTGTGATTGATGGTGATGACGGTGATGGTGATGGTCATGATGATGCTGATTATGATGACGCTGATGATTATGATGCTTATGATGCTGATGATGATGTGTTGGTGATGCTGATTATGATGATTGTGTTGGTTATAGTGATGATGACAATGCTGATGGTAATGCTGTTGGTGATGATGATGCTGATAATAATGCTGATGATGTTGATGATGATGATGCTGATGATGATGCTGATGATGGGATGATGCTGCTGATTATGATGCTGATGTTGATGGTGGTGGTGGTGGTGGTTATGCTGATGATGGTGACGAGGAGGAGGCGGGAGATGATGACAAGGGTGATGATGAAATAGCTGATGTGTATTATGGATTCGGTGATTCTAGTGATGGTGAGGAGGAGCATGAGGACGATGAGGAAGAGGACGATTCAGGAAATAGACGAGGACCAGGAGGAGGACGACTGATGAGAGTGATGAGGAGGAAGTGTGATGATGGCGATGCTGATGAGGACATTGGTGGTGGTGATGGTGATGATGGTGATGGTGAATTGTGGTGATGGTGATGGTGATGATGATGTTGATTGCAGAGGGAGCCACGAGGAGCGCGGCGGCAGCGGGCTCATACCTGTGCCCAACGTCAAGCGCCTCTTCCGCTCGCAGTTCCAGCTGGAGCTTAGCGAGACTGCCCTGGGCCACTCCCGGCTGCACGACCTCCTTAACGACCCCCGCCTGCTCGACATCTGCGGAGCGCCCAGCGACCTTGGAGAGGGAGGGGGAGGAGGAGGGAGGGGAGGAGAAAGGGGAGGGGGAGGAGGGGGCGGATGGAAAGGAGGGGGAGGAGGACACGCTAGGTGCGCTCGCGTCATATCTGACATCCTACCCCTCCCTCCCATCCCTCACCATGGCGCAGATCCCCTCTCTACTCGCTCAGTCGGATGTCGAGCAGGGCAATGATCCCGAAAGGGTACGCGATGCATTGTAGAGCACGGCATGGCATGGCGTAGAAGAGCACCGCAAAGCGTAGTATCAACCTAGCATTGCATTGCATGCCGTGGCATGGCACGGGAAATGACGCCAGCGCTGCAGCGGGAGCACGAGTCGAAACGAGCGGAAGCGCGGAAATGAGGCCAGCGCTGCAGCGGGAGCACGATTCGGAACGAGCGGAAGCTCGGAAATGAGGCCAGCGCTGCAGCGGGAGCACGATTCGGAACGAGCGGGGCCCGAAAATGAGGCCGGCGCCTCAGCGAGAGCAGCATTTTGAAAACAAATGCAGGCGAAAACCTAACCCCGGGGAAACCGGTGCGTAAAAAACATTACGCGGGGGGGGGGTCTGCCACTTTGGAACCGTCATTAGGGGAAGAGGGAGAGTAGTATTGAGATGGGGAAATTGTAGAGGGAGAGGAGGAGGAGGAGGAGGAGGAGGAGGAGGAGGAGGAGGAAGAGGAGGAGGAGGAGGAGGAGGAGGAGGAGGAGGAGGAGGAGGAGGAGGAGGACGAGCGGGTGGGCGAGGAGGAGGAGGAGGAGAAGCAGGACGAAGGAGCCCTTACTTCTGAAATATCTCGGAGGTTCTTCTATCTGCCCTCGAGTGCGCATACACGTTTGAGGACTCAGTCCGACTGTACCGATGAGGAGGAGGAGGAGGAGGAGGAGGAGGAGGAGGAGGAGGAGGAGCAGGAAGAGGAAGAGGAAGAGGGGGAAGCGGGAAAGGAAGAAGAGAGAGGAGGAGGAGGAGGAGGAGGAGGGGGGGAGAGGAGGGGGAGGACGAGGCGGAGGAAGAGGAGGAGGAGGAGAAGGAGGAGGAGGAGGAGGAGGAGGAGGAGGAGGAGGAGGAGAGGGAGGAGGAGAGGGGAGAAGGAGGAGGAGGAGGAGGAAGAGGAGGGAGAGGAGGAAGAGGAGGAGGGGAGAGGAGGGGAGAAGGAGGAGGAGGAGGAGGAGGAGGAGGAGGAGTAGGAGGTGGAGGAGGAGGAGGAGAAGGAGGAGGAGAAGGAGGAGGAGGAGAGGAGGAGGAGGAGGAGGAGGAGGGAGGAGGAGGAGGAGGAGGAGGAGGGCGGAGGCGGAGGCGGAGGCGGAGGCGGAGGAGGAGGAGGAGGAGGAGGAGGAGGAGGAGGAGGAGGAGGAGGAGGAGGGGGGCTTTGATACCTCTCTGCGCACCAGCCCTGGTCCACGGCAGGACGGGTGGAAAGGTCGCGTTCCGTAGCCCGCTGTCACAAGCCGCCGCGCGCCGCGCGCGAAAGCGATGTTGCAGAGCACTTTCCCTCCCTTCCGCCCTGCAGAATTCTCGGCTTCCCTTCCGAGCCATGTCGGCGTTTGAGCTTATTCGGCCGCCGAAAGGACCCAAGATGGAGCCCATTCGGCGGCCGAGCGGGTTCAATTCCGTCGACCCTGTTGGCACTGAGCCCGTTCGGCTGCCCATGTGGCGGCCGGGCGGGCTCAGACGCCGACTGGGCCCAGAAAGGGGCCCCGCAGAAGCGGCTCTCCCCCGAGCCGCGGCGCGCCGCTGCCAAGCCCCGCGTGCAGTGGCCTCGGCAGCCTCGCCTTGCTCGGGTCGGAGGTCTGAGGGAGGGCCGCGCGAGTGCTCGCGGTGCGCAGCCACGCGGGTGCTCGCGGTGCACAGTGCGCCGGATCCCGCCACGGCCCCCCGCCTCCGATGGGGCTCGCGCAGGTGCCCCAGGTTCCCTTCGGAGCCCGTTCGGCGTCTGAGCCCGTTCGGCCGCCGAGTGGATTCACGTCGTCCCCATTCGGTGGCTGAACGGGCTCAGACGCCGACCGGGCTCAGAAGGGAACCGTGGGGTGCCGGGGGTCAGCGCTGACGGGGGCCCTCGCTGATCCGGGTGTGCGCTAACCTGATGCAAACGTGTCCTGAGAGAAATGGGCCCTGAGGGAAAATGGTCCGCTGGGCCCCCATCCAGGCCCCAGGGATTGTAAAGAAAACGATTCACAGGATGAAGAACTGGACCTGGGGGAAGTCCCCGAGGTTCAGGACCCGCTTCACCCCAGACCCGTCTTTTTCGTGTTGGACGCCTGTCCCAGCGCCTGGGCGGGGAGGGCCTGGGCCTCCGACGCGGGGCTGGAGCGAATGGTGTCGGAGGATCGCGCCGCAGCGCCGATGCATCGGCGACGCGGCGCGATCTGGGGCACGTTCTTCGCCGCCCTGCCGCCGCCGATGGAATCGCCGATGCATGGGCGGTGCTGCGCGCTCCTCTGGACCCATCGGCCCCATGTTGAGGAGGAGGGGGTGGGGGGAGGAGGAGGAGGAGGAGGAGGAGGAGGAGGAGGAGGAGGAGGAGGAGGAGGAGGAGGAGGAGGAGGAGGAGGAGGAGGAGGAGGAGGGGGAGGAAGAGCAGGAGGAGGAGGAGGGCAGGATCTGTTTCAACCCAAGAATCAACAAAGATGTTGGAATACGCCCTCCCCCCAGGCTCCCTCGTCATAGGCCCCGACCAGGATTCATTTCCAGTGGAAATAGTTCCCCGTTTGGAGTCAACCGTTCGAGGATCCTGAAGTGTGCCAAAACCCCATTCTCGGGATTGGAACGCTGTGGCGTCTTGACGATCCTGAATCGTGCGACTTCAGCACCGCGAATCAGCGTAACTGTTGCGCCCTGGTAATCCTGAGTCGTTCCAAAACACCGTTTCTGGTACGTTAACCATGAGAGCCCGTGACACTTTCGAAGTTTTTAAGACGAGTGTGCGCGGCGCTAGAGCGAGAGCCACTTTGGAAAACGAGCCGCCTTCCATCCGTGAAACTTCCGCAATGTAAAAAAACGAATGCGCGCGTCGCGAAGGCGAGCCACATTTTGAAAAGACCCTGCCCTCAATTCGTGAAGCTCTTGCAGTTGTGTGTGACGGATGTGCGCGGCGCTCAGACGAGAGCCACATTTTGAACACCACCCGCACTCCATCCGTGAACCGGATGGACATGTTTCAACCGAGTGTGCGCGGCGAGAAAGGCGAGAGCCACATTTTGAAAACGAGCCGCCATCCAACAGTGAAGTTTTTGCACCAGTATGAAACATAACGAGCGCACGCGGCGCTATGGCGAGAACCACATTTTGGAGACCACCCGCCCTGAATCTGTCAACGTATTGTCAATGCTTAAGCTTCAGGTTCATAAGCCGTAAGGAAGTCTCAGGCGAAACGCCTGGCCCGCCCTTTCGACTGGCCTCGAGGTGCGACAGGGAGGAGTCACGTATAAGGAAAATGAGCGAATGAGGAGGGCGGAGGTGTTCCTTATCCTCGCCAGCAGGCTGCCAATTTACTCGCTCTGCGCCCCTGCGGGCCCCCTCTTCTCTTCCCAGCACCTTTTGCCTCAGATGCTCCGCACTCGCCGGCGGTATCATTTGCTGGCCACTGTGCCTAAGTCAGTGTATCCGCACTCCTCTTCTCCGAGGCGGGAATTTCTACAACACCACCGCCTGGGGGATCGATCTTCGGGGGCCTCGGCAGGCGGTGGATCTGGATAGGTTCGGCACCCCTGGAGCCAAGATGTATCCATATCCGCCGCCCGCTGGGGTCCCAGGACGTCGGTTCACCAGGCGGTGGATATGGATAGATTCCCGCCTCGCATCTTTAACTTTGCATTCGAACGCCAGAAAGGAGGGGAGGCGGGGGGACGCGGGACGGCCAGCGGCACACCGAGGCCAGGTTCTGCAGCGCGGCAACGTGCATACCGTGGCGAGCTCAGCTTGCCCCGATCTGCCCTTCGGGGCTCTCGGCGGCGAGCGAGGGGGGGACGTGTGAAGGAGGAGAATGCCTTCCCAGAGGGCGGCGGGACTTCTCAGAAGCCCGCACGCCTGCTGAGAAGTATGTGGCGTGCTTGGGGAAACTTAGACGACTTCTCGGAAGGCCCGAGGACTTCCGAGCCTTCCGAGAAGGCCAGCCCTTTCCCACCTTCCCCCCCCGGGCGCGCCGACGAGGCTCGGTGAGGCCGCCGATCTGGCCGCTCCGCCGATCGAACAGGACCGAGGCGGTCGATGCAGATCCGCCAGAGAAGGCAGGTCCGGTAGCTCCGTGTCTGTGGGGAAAAAACACACTGGGGGAAAAAACAAAAACAATAACAACACAAAACAACAACCCACACTGTGGGAACAAAAACAACAACAACAACAAAAGCACACACACACACACTGTGTTTTTTTGTGTGTGTGTGTGGGTGTGTGTGTGTGTGCGTGTGTGTGTGTGTGTGTGTGTGTGTGTGTTTGTCGACGCGAGTGCCCAGCGCGGACGGGACGTTCCAGGTTGAGCGCCGCCAGTGCCCCGCAAAACGGCCGATATCGAACGGCCCCATGCGAATCGGAAGGCCGCTCCTGGTTGAGCGATCCGCGTGGTGTCCACAACCAGCATGAGCCTGCCGTGCTCCGACCTCGTCGCCCCCCCCCCCTCCGCAGACAGAGGTCGGGTCGGACGGTGGTGCGCTGCCCTCAGGCCTGCCGCTGCAAGTGCTGCCCAGCACCCTTCTGCGGTGCGAGGGTCCGAGTTTCGAGGCGTTCGGACATTTCCGGATCTCCCACTCTGGTCTCTGGGGGCCACCAGATCGGGGGCGGAAAAGGGGGGAGTGATGACTAGGGGGGGTGGATATCATGGCGGGGGCCATGATATTTCCCTAGGTTTCATGGCGCCTCTTCTTATTTCATTACGTCCCTGGCCCCCCCGCTGGGCCGCGCACATGCCGCCGGTCATGATTTGCACCCCCCCCCTCTTGGACACCCCCCTCTTGGCCGCTCCCGACCAGAGGCTCCTCCACAGGGGCCCTCTGCGTGGGCCTCCGTGGTGGCAGGAGGGCGCATTTCCAGCGTGTGCCTCTTCCTGGCATGTCGTTGGCTCCCGACGGTGGGGGCCTTCCTCCGACTCGAAGAAGGAACCATCACGCAAACATGCACTTCGGAGGTCCGCGCGAATTTCTCGGATCGGCGCCCAGTGCGGGCGGCGGAGGCACCGCCAAGGGGGTCCAGCGCGGGTGCCAACGGGTGGCGCGTACCTCTGGGAGTCGATGCTCGCGTGCTTCAGACATGAAGCTGAGCAAGGGCGCAAACTTGAAGTGTCACTGGCCCCCTGGCCCCTCTGGCGGGCTTGCTGGGTGGCCTGAACAACGGGCCGATCCTGACAGGCTGGCTTGCCACGCAGCGCGGCCGCACCCGCCGACTCCTGGCACTCAGGAAGGCCAGCGCGGACCTCCCGGCAACTTACACTTCAGGATTAGATCAATTCGGCATGTACTGGGTCTCACTTACAGGAGTCGACGAGGCGGAGTTGCGTTCTGCCCAATCGTCCTGAAACTGGTGGGCGCCAGGGGGGGCTCCAGGTCGCGCTCCGTATCTTTGGCTGTCCACAATGACCCCACTTGGCGACAAGGTCTTGCCCCGGCACTGCTATGGTCGAAGATAGTGTGGAAATCGGGCATCGACCATTCCGTTTTGAATCCTCACCCCCTTCCTCGCCTTTCGTCCCTCGCCCAACCCGTCTTGACCCATCCCCCCGGCGCGTGGGCCCAGATGAGGGGCTCAATCGGCGCAGCCACTCTATCCTTGGCCCGCAAAGGATGGTCGTTTCTTGTGGGCTGAAGATGGCCCCTCATAACGTTTTCTCCCAAATTCATGGAACTCCAGTTCCAAGAATATTGGGCGCAGTGCCACTCCAGCGTCATTGCAGGCAAAGTAGGGATGCTTGCGGCCACTTTTCAGCGTGGCTCGACGTCTAATTCAAGAGTGCATCCTGCAGAAACGCGAACACGGGTTGCTCCTGTTATTTGTTTGCCCATCGCTGTGGGCAGCGCATCCACTCAGGCAGGCAGGGTATGACGTCGATGCCACTTGTATTTGTGGGGGCGCCCTCCGAAAACATCTCCCATCGCCTCCACTTCTGCCCCTGCACCCGAGGCCTCCGGGATGCGTTCCTCACTGAGGCTGACAAGGCTCTCATCTCGGATTCGGCTGGGGACCTCAGTGTGTCTGCGGGTTCCAGGAGCAGCCGGAGCCAGTGTTAACGCCGCCGCCAGGCACTGGAATTGCCGGTCGTCGTTCCTGGTGCGCCGCCGAGGGCGTCGACCTAGCGGAGGCCTTCGTCGGCGAGGTGTTCACCGACGGATCCTGCTTCAAGGATGGGCCCATCGTTTTCCGCGCTGCCGCACGGGCGGTGGTGAAGTTGACAACAACGGGCGAGCTATTCGCCGCCCTCTGGGGGGCCGTCGGCGCTGACTACCCGCAGACTTCTCCAGCAGCGGAGCACATTGCCGTCCTTGCGGTCATGCAATTGCGCCCGAATGCCATTCTAATGCATTCTAATTTTTAGGAACAGTCGAACTTTCGGAGGCGCCGTGGCAGCAAGTGGAGGCCCGGCAGCACGCGTACGCTGGCCTCCATGTACACATCCGGGGATCAGCAGCCTGGACCAAGGACTTCCGCATTGTCAAGGTGCCAGCTCACGTGGACCCTTCTAACCTAACAGCTGGATCGCTGGAGTGGTTTAGGGCTGTAGGCCACGATTATGCGGACAGGTATTCCAAGAAGGGCGCACTCACTGTAGGGCAGCCGTCCTCGTCAGAAATAACGGCATGTGTTGACGAGAGCGCCTCCTTGAGGCGATATCTCCTGTACGCAGTCCGGGCATTGGGGCTGCCTGCCAGGCGCTCCCGTTCCCACCCCCTTGCCCCGCCCGAAGCGGCATCTTCGGCAGCTGCTCCATCGAACCCAGAACGGCATGTGTGGGCTTGGCGTCGCACCCGCTGGGCGTGCCAGCGCCGTTTGCGCTTTGTCACGAGCGACCGTCAGCCCGCGCCCAACGTGTTGCCTTGTGCCTTGCCGCGGGTACAGTGCAGTCTTCTCTGCTCTGGTCGCCAACCCACGGGGGCACGCACTGCACGCAGCAAAATACTCCCATGGGGTTCTTTTCGTATGCGGCAAGTGTGGCACCTACTCTGGAACTGGCGCCTCGCGTTCTTTGGGTAAGGAATGCCAGCCAGGACGCGGCTTCCCGTCCAATGGCGCAAAGCATTCTTGGGACAGGTTTGCCGAAGGTCAACACCCCAACTCGAAAGTTGGCCCAGCCTTTTGCCTTGTCGAGCGTCTCCCGTCTCTAGCCGATTTTCATTTTAATTCGTGCTCACTGGGTCATTTGCGGTCTGTGGATCGTCCCATCCTGCGGCCGTTTGCGCAATCTGCGGATCGGTTCACTCCTCGGGGTTGAGGGCCCATACCGACGAAGGTCCCCGCAGAGATGTTTTGTAACATGTGCGCAGGTTGGCATGTTGTTTTCACACCGGCCCCATGGGGGGTATTCCGCCCTCCCCGGAGGCTTTCTGCAGCCTCCCAGCAACCGCGTCTTGTCGGTTTTGTTTTGTTTTGTTTGTTTGTTTTGTGTTTCTCGCTCTCTCTCTCTCTCTCTCTCTCTATATATAGATCTGGAGGGGCGGGACCTAATTGTCCGCCTGACAATTCGGCGTGCTGGCCACAACAGAGGGCTCATCAACCAGAGCGTGGAGCACGCACGTTTCGCATTGTGAGCGGCGCGTTCGCATCGACCTCGGCCTTTTCCCATGCAGATACCCATCGCACCACACACACACACTCAGAACTTTCAGGATGAGACTTCCAAGCGGTCGTGGATCACTGAACTCTGCGGGTCGCCTCATCCTTGAAGATGGGCGCAGGCGCCCTGAAAGCTTCTAGCGTTCTTTGCAGTCCTCTTCCTCCTCCTTCTCCTTGTCGTCCTCCTCCTCCTCCTCCTCTCATCCTCCTCCCCCTCCCCCTCCCCCTCCTCCTTCTCCTTCTCCTCATCCTCCTCGACCCTGGATCCTCGATCTTCGATCTTCCTGCGATGAGGGGGGAGGCAGCCCACAGGGGGAAGCATTGGGCTAAACCTCCTCCTCGATCGCCCCCACCACAACTCTAGACGCTTCGCGTAACCCCACAAGCCCATCCAGGAATGATGCCCGGGCGAGTTGCCCTGATCAGGGATGCGGAGTATAATGCAGTGGAATCGGGGCCTCGGGGAAGCCTCGGGGAGCCTCTTCGGGCCTCTTGAGGGTCTCTTAGGGGCCTTTGGGGGACAATATGGAGGCCTCTTGGGGCCTCCTGGGCGCCTCTTGGCGCCCTCTTGGGGCACGTTTGGGAGCCTCTGGGGCCATCTTGGAGAAGATCGGTCAACAAGGGGGGGTAGTAAATTGCAGCCCTCCCCCAGGAGGCCAACATGTGCCCAGAACCTAAACAGCATTAGTGATGTTTGCCTTCTCGCAGAGGCCATCATGGAGGCTCCAATGGGTCGCGAACCCCCCCGTCCACGTCCAGGGGGAGAGGGTAGGGGGAGGGGTCAAGCTACCCACCCGCCCGCAAGCCGTCTAGCTCACTCCCACCCGCCCTCCCTACACATAAGTAACACCCGAGCATGAGCATGTTCAGCGGCCGTCTTTGCATGGACAGCTACTGGGAACCAAAGCCGACTCCAGATGCGCGACGCTTGGGCGAGGTGCGCCACGCGTGCCAGGGGCGCCACGCGCGCCAGGCACCCCTGAGGCCCGAGCGTGCCAGGCACGAAGGATTGCAAAAAAACCTAGGATTGCAAAAAAACCCTTCGTGCGAAGGATTGCAAAAAAACCCAGAAGGGTTTTTTTTTGCAATCCTTCGAAGGTTTTTGCAATCCTTCGTGCAGGTGCGCCAGATGCGACATGTGCTCCGAGTGCGCCAGGTGTGCCGCACACTCCAGCCGCGCCAGGTGCGCCGCGCTCGGGGCACGGGCAGAGTGCCTCAGGTGCGCCTGCGCACGTGACAGCAAGGGCTCCCTCGAGGGCGCGAAGTTATTCGCGCTTCGCGCTTCGCGGTCCTCGTTCCTCCTCCCCCTCCTCCTCGTCCTCCTATTCTCCCTTTGGGAGGGCGGCGCGAGAGCGCGAAGTTATTCGCGCTTCGCGCTTCGCGCAGCGCGAAGCGCGAAGTTGGGAGCCCTAGTGACAGCGAACATCGGGAAGCATGTCGGCCCCAACCATCCTGGTCGAACGCCGATGCCCATCATTGTGTCTGGTGGGCATGCGCACAGCAGGCCACCCGCCACCACCCCCGCCGCCCGTTTCAAAAACCACTTGACAGTGATCGCGGGATGGCCGCGCATGATCCAGATTTAGCCGCGAGGTGCATGTTGCATTGTTTTTGCTTGTCAGGGATGGTCGCCCTGCGCGCAGCAAGGAATATGCTGACACCCCCGCCATCCTTATCAAAAACAATACAAAGGGCTCGCGGGCCTCACGAACAGGACTCAAGACTTTGCCCCAAGGTGTACTTTGCATTTTTTTTGGCAGGGATGGTGGGGGGCCGCATCGGGTTGGCCGATCATGCTCCAAATGTGGAGGCAGAGTGCGGTTTGTATGTTTTTTTGACAGGGGTGGTGGGGGGCGGATCGGCATGGTGTCGGCATGGTGTTGGCATGGTGCCTGGTTGTCCCTTGGTCGCCTGGGGGAGCGGGTGTATATCAAGACCAAGAAACAGTGATAAAGGCGCCCTCCCCGCCCGCAAGCTGTCTCACTCACTCCCAACGGCCCTCCCAACACAGAAGTACCACCCAGGCCTCAGCATGTTCACCGGTCGTTGATGGATGGGCAACTACTGGGAACCAGTACAGTCCCAATGTGCGCGATGGGGCGAGGTGCGCCACGCGTGCCAGGCGCTCTAGGTGCGCCAGGCAGCCGTGGGGCCCAAGCGTGCCAGGCACGCTTCGCGCGCCAGGTGAACCACATGCTCCACGTGCGCCATGTGTACTGCATGGTGCAGCCGCGCCAGGAGCGCCACGTCCAGGGCACACACAGAGTGCGCCAGGTGCGCCCACGCACGCGACAGCACACATCGAGAAACATACCGGCCCCCACCATCCTTCTCGAAAACGCGTGCACAATCCAGCGGGGACGCCATCATGGTGCTTGCTGGGCCTGCACATAGCAGGCAATATGCCAGCCCCCCCGCGGTCCTTATCAAACACGGATGGGCAGTGATCGCGGGGTGGCCGCGCATGATCCAGACTTACCCGCGAAACGCATGTCGTTTTATTGTTTTCAATCGGGATAGTGGCCTTGCACAAAGTAGGCAATCTGAGGGCACCGTCGCCTCCCTGGTAATTCTTTAAATTGTCTTCTTGTTTTTTCAAGTGCTCGCGGGGCCCACGAACATAACCTAAGATTTACCCCAGAGTGTGCTTCGCATCGTTTGTAACAAGGATGCTGGGGCATTGGTCCTTGTTGGCTGCCGGTCGCCTGGAGGAGGGGGTGTTCATTAATGGGGAGCAGTGGTCAACCCCTCCCCGAAGGAGAAGAAGCGGGTTGGAAGAAGAAGCGCGCTAGACCACTCACGCCCTGAAGGGCTGGTGGGTTTTGCCCAGGCTTCCTGTTTCGCACAGACAGCCCCACCCCGGTAGTCCCAGCTGCCGCCCCTGGAGCTCTCCTCGCCCCAGGGCTGGGGTGTCGAGACCGTCCTGGACTACTGTTGAGGCCAGCTGGGACGAGGCCATACCTGGGGGCTGATTTTGCGGATGACGATCGATGGAGAGGAATCATGTTGCCAAATCATTCCCAGATGTCTAAAGCATGTCTCAAACATGTCTGGAACATGGAGTAGAACACATGCTTTAAACATCTGGAGAACATGTTTCAAACAGTTTAACACATCTTTCATTCAATTATCGGACTGCTAGGGGGGTGTCCATTGCCATGGCATCCACAAGGCTACCTTGGGGGGGGGGGGCTGTCTGCTCGCAGCCCGAAGCCTTAAGCCACGACTCCTCCCGCGATCGCCGCTCCGAGCCCGAGGTGGCGAGGGCCTGCCCCGCCCTGGTGGCGCCGGCGCTGGACACCTGCGGCGCCCTTCCGGCCGGGGGCTTCGCCGCCGAGGGAGCGGCGGCGTGGCAGGCGACGGCGAGGGGGCCTCGCATCAGGGGCCACGACCGGGGGGGGCATGGGCTCTTCGAGCCTCGAGGTGCGAGCCCAGACATGGTCGCGTCGTGACAAAATCCGGACGGGAGGTTTTTGGCCGTTTTCGGCCTCGGGGGACCCTCGCTGGGCCTCGGGACCGTCAACAAAACGATGCAGGATGAAAAACCGACCCCGGGGAGAAAGGGTCGGGACTTCTGGGGACGCCGTCCCGAACAAATCAGGGCGTCGCATGTCCGGGAGGGTTTCGGTGGTTCTCGTCGGTTCTCTGGCCTCGGGATCCCCTCCAGCAGCTGCGCCTCGCCGAGGGCGGTCTCCCGGGGGCACCCAGCTCGTCACGCGCCGCCGCCCGCGGGCCGAAGCCCAGGGGCATGCTTTGCTGGGAGCTCGCGCAGTGTGGACGCTTCCGCCCCCCTATCGCCAGCTCGTCACACCGAGAGGAGTCTCGGGGCCGTCGACGACGGCGGGGGCGGCCGCTCCTCCCCTGGGGGGAGGCAGATATTTCCGCTATCGCCACTCCCAGGACCTCTCCCTGGGCGACTTCTGGCCTCAGGAGAGACTTCAGATGGGGAGAGGCTCCGGGGGAGGCATCGCCCCCCCAATCGCCCACTCATAGCCCACCCCGCCCAGGAGCGTACGGATTTGCCATCGGGGGTCCATCGCCGATCTATCGGCGATGTACCGCCGATTCAAGCTCAACGTTTCCCCCTCTGAGCTGCGTCCCCCCTCATCGCGGGAGGATCGAGGATCGGTGATCGAGAAGGAGGAGGAGGAGGGAGGAGGAGTAGAAGGAGGAGGAGGAGGAGGAGGGGATCGTTGCCATTTTGGCTCAAGTCTGTTACATTGTGGCTCCGAGGCTTCGAGCACTGTGACGTGGGGGATCAGCGACCCCCGCCTGCGTTCTAATTTTTATATTCCGTGTACTGTTGCAGGCTGCCCGAGGTCTCTGTGCACTCAGCATTCCCGCCCAGGCATGGTCCGCAGTGGCGCTCCCGACTTCTCGGCTTGGTCTTGCGGTCATACGAAGTGCGGCTGTCAGTCCAACTACAGGTGGCGCAACAGTGTTTTCGTTGTGGTCGTGCTGCTGATCGCCGGCGTGGTGCAGCTCAGTGCAATCGTGATCTCGGTGAATGGGCTAAGGGCCCTCCTGGTGGCAACGCGCCTAGGCCATCCACATTGATGCAAGGATGCCCGCCGCCGATTTCGAACAGATCGCGAGCGCAGATCGTCCGTGTCGGTGCTCAGAGGGCTTTGCTAAATGGTGAGCCCCGTGCCTCCGCTAAGAATGCTCGCTTCGATCAAGATTTCCTCGATGATAAGCGTGCCAAGGCGCAGCGTGCATTTGATCGGGCTCAAGATGCAGTCTGCAAAACAGTAGCACATGCGACACAGTGCAGAGCCGACTTCGCCGAGGCTGAGGCCGCAGCGCGCGCCGCCTCCGCCAATGCAGACGCAGCCTTCGCAACCATGGGCCAGGCCGACCCGTGGAGCAGCTCAAGCGGTTGGCGGCGTCCCGCGGCGTCCCTCTCGCACGGTGCCGAGAACGCCAAGCTCGCCCAGCTCGTTGGCGCCCTCGAGTAACTCCTCCCCATGCTGCAAAAGGCGGTGCCGCCTGAGACCCTTTCTGCCTGCGGCGGCAGGTGGGCCCGCTGCGGATGCTGGTGGGCCTGGCCCTGCTGCTGGCCTTGCCGCTCAGCCTGCTGCTTAGCATCCAGGAAGCGCCGCAGGCGCAGCTGCAGCGTCCGCGCCAGGGCCCCTGGGTGTCGACGCCGACGGGGCCAATCCAAGCGGTGCCGCCGCCGCGGCCGTCAACGCCGAGCCAGAGCGTGCAGCTCAGTCTCAGAATGAGCTCGTCGCGTATCTGGAATCCGCCCGGGCCGACAGCTCCCCGAGATTGACAAGCCCATGCAGATATATTCAACAGCGCTCAAGGAGATGCGCGGCAATGTCCGTTTTGTTCCGCCCGACTGGAACCGAGAATCTTTCAGCGCAGCAGCTTTGGGTAAATAGTTTCGCAACGTCACAGGGCTTCTCGGCTTGGAGGCGTTAGTTAAGCACCAGCGCGCTCAGCAGTCTCATGTCGCAGAGGTGCAGGAGCACCATCAGATTGACGCGAGTGCTTCTTGGGAGAGCAAGTTGCGCACGGCAGGCAGGCGTGGCAGGATCGAGCCTGCTGCTACCTCTTGCCATGGCAAGGGCACCTGTGGCGGCCTGCTGCAGGTGGTCCCGCACGAACAGGAGCCAGCGCCCGTCGATCTCGTCTCCCCGACGATCTGCGACGGCCGCGCTGTGTCGCTCTACGCCACAGGCTTAGTGCCCGGTGGCTTCCTGTGGGTCACGCTGTACCTGCGTGATAGCGAGTAACTCCCGCCGAGGAATTGGCAACATATCGAGGCCGTGGGTGCTCTGCTCAAAGTTGTGAGCATGCCGTTCATCGCGTGCGGTGGGTTCACCATGGCTCCTGACATTCTCTGCGGGTCAGGCTAGCCAGAGGCTGTCGACGCAGTCGCGTTGGCTCCTGCGGCAGCTACGTGTGCCAACTCGTCCGACTCTGGTGGCGAGGTGCTCGACTACTTCGTGGCATCGGCGCAGCTTCAGCGCGCCGCGACCGTGGAGGTCATCACTGATGTTGGCACGGCCCCTCACATGCCCGTGATGCTCACGTTGAGCGCGCATGGAAATGTCAATCTCGGCTTCGGGGTCGCTCGCATCCCGGAGAAGTTCCCCGCCGCGGTGCGGCAAGGGTGCACGAAGCGCGACTCCACGCAGCTGCGGCTGGACGCGGAGCTTGAACAGGATGGTCTGCACGGTGGGCGCCAACTGGAGGCGCTGGAATCTGGCCGCGGAGGCAGACATCGCCGACGTCTACGACACCTTGCCCTCCGAGTCGCCCGAGTATTCTGGGCGCATTGGGGTGCCTGCCCTGCTATGCTCTGCCTGCTCGGCCCAAGGACTTGGCGCGCCCCAGGCTCCCGCCCCCGTCGCTCTGGCGGCTGCTTTCGGCTGGTTGTTTTTGTTGGGCCCAGTCGTTGGCGACCGTCTCCGCTCAGGGGCTTGCCGGTTCGATTCGCCCGCCAGGTCCAGTCCTGTGCATTCTTTCACTGCGGCAGTTGATTTCAGCCGGGCGCAGGCGTGGCTAGAGCTGCTCACCGTTGCTAAGTATATTCCCAACGAGCTGGCTGCAGCTGTTGCGGATGTTTCCAAACTGCACAGCTCGCCGATCAAGACTTCCGCGGCGCCGAGAATCGAAGAGAGAAGGTTGGCGTGCCTGGGTCAAGGATCACAGCTGGAACGGCGGGGCGGGGCTCTGCGCAATCTCCAAGCCGCCCGCGCCGCGTCGCGCCAGCTCTTTTGTCGCCGGTAGTTTCGGGGCCTCCGGGAGATAGCCTGCCGCGCTGCATCAAAAATTCGAGCTCCTCGAAAGAATGGTGGCGCTGGTGGCGCGTTGGGCCCCATCGAGGGCGCCCTCGCCGGGCCCGGCGGGCCGGGCCCCCTATTGCCTCGTCCGTCGCGCCAGGTGCTCGCGGGCTGCATTCGAAGTTTCCCTCCGGAGTCGGGGCGTGGATCTGGCCGAGTCACTCCTCGCCGTTTGCTCTCTCTGTCTGACGCTGGGCTCGCTCTTTTCATCGACCTGCCAGAAGGACAGGTCGTTCGTTTTTCTCGCCGGGCTTGAGGGCGGTCTTCGGCCGATCGCCCTCGTCCATATACGGGCTCGGATTCAACGCGGGCTTCGGCGCCCGCGCGTCGCGAGGTGGCAGGAGGCCGATCCCAGGCCGCGCTGGTGGTCTTCGAGGGGCCGCAGCTCATGTGCAATGGGTTTTGGATACAGACCGTCGGGGCCGACTAGGCCTCGGAGAAGCAGTTCGCATGGGGCTCCTTTCTTTGAGACTTCCAGAAGGCGTTTGAGCATGCGCGGCGCTCTGAGCGGATGCTCTGCAGCGCTCGGGGTTCCCCCTCCGCTAGCTGAAGCTTCCCGTCGAGCTTTATCGGGCGCCTCGTGTCCTGAGCTATCAGAGTGCAATCTCGACGCCTCTGGGAGCGCAGCATGCTGCGCGCTGCCTGGCTGTCGCTCCGCAGCGCCCATGCCGCGGCCCATGTTAGCCGGCTCTGTGGATGCGATCAGAACGATGAATCTGCATTTCACTTTCGGGCCCGCGGTTGGCGGCTGCGGTTGGTCTCCAAGGGGTCGGGGAAAATTCGGGCGCGATTCGGACCCAGTAGGCGCCGCGGGCTTGCTTCGCCCCGAGTTCACATGAGCGCGCTTTGCCGTTCACCGCGAGAAGGGCCGCGTCGCTTCTCTCGCCCCCCAGGCTCAGGGATCGGACTGCGAAGCGAACCCGTCGGTTTACTGTAGATGGCGTCTCCTGCGAAAGAAACCCCAGCATCGATTGTGCGGCCGCGCGTGAATTCATCGGCGCGCTTCTAGAGCTAGAAGGGGACTTGCGGCGGCTCGGGCCCGCAAGGTCAAGAGTTACTTTAAAGAAGTAAGACAGAGACGGCTGCGCCACTTGGTGCAATATTGCCTAGTCCCCTCAAGTATGGGGGGCGCTGTCAATGGCGCGACTTGGGCCGAGCTCCGCGTTGCGCGCGCGCTGCAGGCGCGCGTGCAAGTGCGGGGTTGTTTCCGCGCAGCGCAACGTCATCGCCAATGCTGGCCAAGGCGCAGAGATGCGACCCATCGCACCATTCGAACATCGCGCCGCTCAGCACGCATGCCGTCGCTGTTCGGGATGGACTGTCACCGCGCAGGCTGACCGAGCAAGGCTCTGTGGATGCTATTGAATGTGCGGCTGCAGCGCAGCGGCAACCCGCGGGGCGGCGCCCGTGGCCCGTTCTCCGCCGGTGCTGCTACTGCTCGAAGAGTCGGTTTCGCCCTTAGGGATTTGCGTGGAGCCGCGCCTCCTTGGGGCACATCTCTGTTGTTGATTCTGGCCCGCGCCCTGCGGTCACGTGGATGACTCGCGCGATTGGGTCTTGTCCTTTGTCCGAGGTTGCTGCCCGAGTGTCTGTTCCAGAGTCAACTCAGGGGTGCAACCTCGCCCCGTCGGTGGAGCTAGTGAGCCAAGCTTCAGCTCCTTGAGCGCGCATGCATCGAGTCTGTAGTTTCAGGCAGGCAGCGGTCCCGGCGCAGGCGGTGGAAGCGCGATTGCAGCGATTCTGCCGAGCGTCGCGCGCGCGGGCGCGCCGCGAACGCCTGCGCGCAGGCATGTAGCGCGGGGTGCGCAGGAGCAGCGCGTGCATGCGGATCCGACCCCCGCTTGCTTCTCCTCCGTGGCCAGAGCTGCTGTCTCTCCTCTGCCTCGCCTGTTTGTTGGGCGGCCGCTTGTGCCAGATGCCCCCTTTGCCTGCCTCATCTTCCGCCCCAGACCGGCGCGTCTCGGATGGCCCCGCAGAGATGGCGGGCGCGCATTCTTGGGCGGCTCCTGGATGCACCAACACTTGCCCGCTCAGGTGAAGACGGCAGACTCGGCGATCGTCTCTCTCTGCCGCGGCCGCCGTCGAGTCGTCTGTCATGCGCGGTGTGCTTGTCCGTGTAATTCTTGACCGACGTGGCTAGAACAACGGCGCGGTTGCCGGGGCTCCAACGCCGCTCGCCAGTTGCAGTGGCAAGCGTGCATGGTCTGAGCCGCGGCGAACGGCGTTGGCTCGGCTTTATGATTGGTGCGTGTGTGTGTGTGTGTTTGTGTGTGTGTGTGTGTGTGTGCGCGCGTGTGTGTGTGTGTGTTTGTGTGTGTGATTGTGATTGTGATTGTGTGTGTGTGGGTGGGTGGGGGGGGGCGTTCTCGCTTGTCGCGGTGCGAGCCCGCGCCATTCGCTTTAGCGCGATGGGCGGTGCGGAGTCGGGGGCTCCTAGACGTCATCTCATGTTTCTGAATCACGGAAATGATGAAGCCGATTCCTGGGCAAAGTGGGCTGTGGATCGAGTTCGCATGCCACGGGAGCGCGGGGGCCTAGGAATAATAAGGCTCTGGTTTAAAAACATTTTGCCGTTTAGGTGTGCGCGCGTCGGGTCACAATGTATTGACATTGTTTCCTTCCACGTGCCACCCCACTTGCGTGCGTCCGAGGATCCCCCCGCCCCCCTCGTGGTCGAGCCTCTCCCCCCGCTCGCAACCCTAGGGCGCTGGTCAATGCTGATTCTGCAGCTGCCAGGCTTGCGCTCGCGGGAGGTAGACGGCACGTGGTGCGCCCGTTGCAGCTTGTCGATGTCCCCCGTCGTGCAGTGCGCTATGTTTGCGGGTACGGCGGCGCCGCCATATCTTCGGGTCTCAGCGCCGAGCGTCTTGTCAAGTCTCTCCCATGGTCGCACAGAACTCGTGCGTTGTGTAATCTTGGCCGTGTCGCAATACGGTATTTGTTTCACAAATGCTGGCACATTCTAGTCCGGCTTCTCCGTGCAGGCGGGTTGGCCAGAGCAGGTGAGGCCTCGACGGCCGCGTTATCCTAACTCTGTTGGTCTTCTCATTATCGTGCGTGGCAAGATCTGGCTGGCTGGTTGCGCAAGCGGCAACCCGATCAAAGAGGGTCGGCGCCGCCCGCCGCAGCCCTTGCGCGCAGACAGACCCATGCCTGCGCCTGGCGGTGCGCAGGAAAAGAAGCTGGAGGAGGAATGGGAATGGAAATGGGGTCGGCAACCGTGGCCAAATTTTTGGGCCGAAGCCCTCTTTCAAAACGGTCCAGGAACACGCCGCATCTGGGAAATGCGGACGGGATCGCATGGCTTCGCCAGGCCCCTCGAAAAGATCTCACAGAAAAAACACAACCCCCGCAGACCCAAACATTGGAGCGCAGGGACAACATTATCTTGTGTCAGCTGCGCCCCCCCTCCCCGACGTGGACCTTGAAACCCTGCGGAGGCTTGAGCGCGCGACCTACCTTCTCCAAGACGGAGCAGGAAGAGGTAAGCCACGATGTCCTGGCTGCGGCGGTAGCCGAACACCAGCATCTCGTACGCTGCAAGCCTTCCTGGCCCAACTGATGGACACTGGTGAAAAAGGGCAACAGCAGCAGCAGGGGGGGGAGGCGTGGGAACATCAACGACACGCATGGGCTCACGGTCGCAGGTTTTCCCACCCTCCCCAGACGACTGGAATCTTCCAAAGCGGCCAAGGTGGATCTCATGATTCTGCGACGGACGGGCCTGGTGTGTTTGGCCTCCGCCACAGCCTCAGGAGCCCTGGCGAGGCGCGAAGCCTCTCCTCCAATAGCATCAGCCGCCTCGGCACTTGCAATCATCCAGTAGGGGAAGCGCGAGCACCCGCCGAGGACCTTGACACGTGACGCACCTTTTAACACCACCGCGGGACCGATGCGAGTCTTCAACAGATGGCCGATGGATTTCCAGACGCTTCCGAGCTCACCGTAGGTGTGGTCATAGTTCCTGGAAGTCCACCCCCTGGAAACCTCGTCGTTCTCCGTAACGCAAACCAGATCTCCCTTGGAAAACCTGGTCGAACATTCGAGAGCAACCAACTCCCCCCGCGGAACAGGCTGGCACCTGCCTGCAACGGGTCCCTAGACAATGGGACCAACAACGAAAGGCGTGACCGAAGTAGCTGAACACATTGCAAGCCCCACTCTGAAACCTCTCGTCTCCTCCCTCCTTCCCAGCCGAAGCATCGCCAAACACAAATAAGGGAGCCTCGGGCGTGCCCTTGCCCACGGCGGTTGCCTCCAGCTGATTCGTGAAAAGATGCGCGAAGCGTCAGCATTCTGCTGCTGGCGGAGAGGTGACCTGCGCCTGTGCAGCTGGCAGTCGCCCTCGATGCCACAAGCATGCCTCTGCGATGGGAGAAAAGGGGACGGGATCGAAGATGAGCGATGGAGGAGAAGGAGGTGGCCGAGGAGGACCGAGGAAGAGGAAGAGGGCGAGGAGGAGGGCGAGGAGGAGGAGGAGGAAAACGAGGAGGAGGAGGTGCACGGGAGATCAGACCTTCGCTGTGGCGGGCGTCATTTTTTGTAGCCTCGCACTCTGGTCGGATTCTTCTCGGGCACCTTGGCTGCTTTTTCCTGCCCCGACGTTCAGAGGGCCCGTCTCCGCTGCGCGCTCGCCCCCCCTTTGAGTCCGTGCCGGATACCAGGGGGCATCCGGTAAGCCACGCAATACAACTAATTTGTTTTGCAATGCGATAAAAAAAAGGCATTACCTACGTGGGTTTTACACGCGTAGGCAGCAGGGGGAAACACATGATGCACATATCACTGAATGTTCGATCGCCGTAGTTATTTAGTTCAGGCGCTTGGGAAGGCGTAGCCACAGCCTCACGTCCTAACGCGTGAGGCGCCGAACCTCTAACATCTCGTAGCCTTGAATCGTACTGCAAAAGAGACCGTTGGCGAGTAAGCTGCCCACGTAATATCGCGAACAAGCGCTCCCGTTTCTGATGTGGCGTGCCGCGCTGGCGGCCAGCGTCATCCGCGGCGGAAGGTCGCTAGGTCATCGCGCGCGCTGCCCGCTTCTGACGGCGCTCAACAGCAGTTTGTGGGCGGCCGTCGGGGGTGTTCCCGCTGTGGTGGGGGAGCTCCAGCCGCCGCCCCGAGCCCGTGCAGCATGTGTGCCAAGTTGAGCGACGCAGACACACTGGGCCGACGTCGCCGACATTCGTTTCCAAGCTGCCCAAGTAAGGTCGCGCGTAAGCGCCCCCGCTTCTAACGTGGCGTGCCGCCCTGGCGGCCCGCAAAGCCGCGGCAGGGGTGCCTCCAGCGTGGTGAGAGAACTCAGAACTCCAGCCGCCGCTCCAGGCCTGTGCAGAATGTGTGGCCAGGCGTGCCTTCTAGGCCTGCGCAGGCCCACTACCTGTATCGGTCGTGGTGGGCGGCTGTTGTGGTGAGCGGTTGGTGTGGTGGACGGGTTGGTGTGGTGGACGGGTTGATGTAGTGGGCGCGCGATCGTGGTGGGCGGTTGACGTGGTGGACGGGCTGATCTTTTGCACAGCAGGAGGGGCGAACGCCCGTCGTCGGATCCTCGCCCTCGCCAGGGGGAGTCCGCGGCACCCACCTGGCGGTGAGGAGGCGTCCTCACAAGCCTGTGAGGAAGGGTGAAGACAAGACCTCCCAGCTGTTCCTCCCTCACCCTCCCTGCCCCCGTGGAGCCGACCGATGGCGCCTCGTTCTGCACGGTGGGCTCAGGGGTTTTCTGTTGTTCCTGGTGGGAGGAAGGACCTCTGAGGCCCATCGGCATGTGGCGGAAGTGGCAGCCGCGCCACCCTTGCTTGACCTCGAGCGTGCGTGGTGGAACCGCGGTGACTCGTGGGCACGACGTGGTTGATGCCAGGGTTCAAGGAGTGAGAGTTGTACCAACTCAGCTGCTCCATATGTCCAGCACTAGGAGAAAGAGTCGGGGGAGGGGGAAGGAAGGCCGTGCAGGGAGGAAGAGGAGGAGGAGAAGGAGGAGGAGGAGGAAGAGGAGGAGGAAGAGGCGGAGGAGGGTGAGGATGAGGAGGAGGAGGAGGAGGGGGATGATGAAGCGGATGAAGGTGAATATCAAGACGAAGATGAAGATGACATTTGAAGATGATGATGAAGATGATGCTACAAAACAAAGAGGAAAGACATAGTAGTTATATTATGATGAATACGAGTCATACTACTAAGAAGAAAAGGGCACGAGTAGGAGCATGGGGCGGACGGAGGCAGGAGGAGGCAGAGGGGTGAGGACAAGGGCGGCGCACGAGAGCGGGGGATGGGGGAGGCCGCCACCGCGTCGCCGGCGGCACCTGCGGCGATGCAGCCGCAGTGGCAGGGCCTGCTGAGCACGCCGGTCCCCGATGCCGCAGCGGTTGTCGCGGTGACTCCCAGCCGAGGAGACCCCCGCGAGGGCCCGCGCGAGCATCGAGGTGCGCGGGACCGCGTGGCCCTGTCAGGGCCTTGGTGGGCCCCGCCTTCGATACAAAGCCGAGACGTACCCAACACTTTTCTCCACGCGAGGCGAATATTTGTATGACCGCTCCATGCAGAAGGACATATCGCCAGATTTGCACAATCTGCGCTGCCCTCATCTCCGCCCTGCCTCCCAGCAGCCCGAGAGCGTGGGGACGGTTGCGCACTTCGCAGCCCCCGAAACCGCCGCGAGTTCTCAAATGGATCTGCGCTGCCCTCATCTTCGTCGTGCCTCTCAGGAGCCAACAAAAGTGGCGACAGTTTCGCAGTACGCACCCCCGAAACAGCCGCGAGGTCTCAAATGGAACTGCGCTGCCCTCACCTCCGACGCAGCTCCCAGGTGCCCGCGAAAGTGGCGACAGTTGCCCACGCCACCGAGGGAGCCACGAGGTCTTGGCTGGGTGCGCGTGGCACTCCGCTCCGCTGGACCTCCCAGGAGCCCACTCAAGTGATGACAGTTGCGCAAACCGCAGCCCCCCCAGGATCCGCGAGGTCTCGGCTGGGTGCGTGTTGCACTCCACTCCTCTGGACCTTTCAGGACCCCACGAAAGTGGCGACGGTTGCGCAAATCGCAGCCCCCCCAGGGGTCCTTGAGGTCTCGGCTGAGTGCGCGTGGCACTGCACTTCGCTAGACCCGCTGGACCTCCCAGGAACCCACGAAAGTGGCGACGTTTGCGCAAATCGCATATGCCCCTCAAAGCGGCTTGGATTATGAGAAGCGCTAGGCCTTCCATTACGAAGTACAGGACCTCATTCGGGCTACGACCGCGCACAGTACCACCATGGCCTTCGGGGACTTCAATGCGCAACTTCTGCGGCGAGGACCGGGAGAGGAGGATATGATCGGGCCTCATGTGTTCAAAAACTTCCATGGGAACGCCCATCGCGATGACCGACACAATGGGTATGCCAACATGCAGCTATCTAACCGGCAACTGCTTTGAAAACTTGCGTGAATTACGACCTCGCCATCGCGGACACATTCTTCGACCACCTCGATTCGATGGCAGTCGCGTGCCAGAACGTGGGGGTCAACCCAATGGACAATAATATTTCGACGTCAACGTTTTCACATGTTCACATATGACAATAATATTGCGACGTCAACAATATTATTACGACGCCGACAATGATATTACGACGTCAGCGACGAAGTCAACGTTCACATGTTGGTAATGCACTATGCCATCAGTCAATGATGGACACGATCACGGATTGCCGGAGCAGCCGCGCAGGCGCATCTAATCGTCGACCGTTCCTTCTGATTGCGGACGTGCACATTGAGTCCGAGACGCAACAAGGCAATCGAAGCAGAGAGTGGATACACAAGCGTCGGCACCTGCACGGCGGCAGCTGCGACCGCTTAGATTGCCACTGCGTTGCTCCCATCGTGGTCTTGGCTGCGCTATTGGGATAGCCCTCTTGAGGGGCAGCGGGATTCTAGTTTCCTTCGCCGTGAAAAAAAAGAGAGTGGATACACAAGCGTTGGGCGACATGGAAACGCAACGCAGCTTCACGAATGCATTCGTCAACGCGATGCTACAATCGAAGGCCACAGACAACTTAGGCACCCCAGCAGCCGATCTACAACATGCTTTCGCTGAAGCTGCAGCCGTCTTGCCTATTGTCGAGATCGCCAGCGAGACGCCCATGGACGAGCCAGAGCACATTTGTCTTCATTGCCGAACGTAATGCTTATCGGCGGGATGGAGATCACGGCAATGAGAAACGACTTCACACATTGATCAGAAAATCTGGCAAGAACGACCGAGACGCATGGCGTCACAATCGTACTACGAATGGTAGTTGGAATGCTGCTCAACACCTGCGAACAACCAAAGAAATTACAACATGCCACTATGCAGCTCCCCGGTGGCACTCCAGCTGACACGGAAGAACGAGCAGATGTGATAATGCATTGTTTCGAGAGTGAGCTTTGGGAGAACAAACTTCGGGACACACGCCAAGGACATACTACACTTTTGGATACTGCGTTTCCCCTCGGCACGTCTTCTTTCACCAATAGTGAACCGAAGGCAGTTCTGCGAAAGCTTAAGGAAGGAAAGGCAGCCGGCCCCGACGATCTCCCGCTAGAGTTTTGGAACATCTTGGGTCAGATTCCATTGCTTGCGGCATCCTATTGGACATGCTTCGGACATGCTGGGGACAAAGGTCAATTCCGGAAATTTGGAGACGGTCGAGCGTCGCGCTGCTATTCAACAGAGGAAGATCGGCTTCACCAGCAAATTACAGGCCTATCTCATTGTCACCGGTTGGATGCACAATCCAAGCTGCACTTCTACACCGACGCCTCGTCCAGGGCGAAGCAGAGCATCGATTACGACAATAGCAGTATGGGTGCAGACCCGGGCAAGGAACCGACGACTCGCTTATATTAGTGCGACGTATGATCGATGCGGCGCATATGGGCAACGACGGGGGGATTTCTCTACTCACGCTTGATTGGGCCAAAGCATTTGACAGGATTGATCCAGGTTGCATGTGTGGCGCGCTCCTCCGCTTCGGCGTTCCTCCCTGCATGGGTCAAATCTTACGGTCCAAATGCGCAACAAGATATTCCACCATCCTGGACCACACAGGCACCTCAGTTGACATAGTACAGCACGCTGGGATTGCGCAGGGTTGCCCCTCTGTCGCCTTACTTGTTTATTATCATTTCAAGCGTGATGATGCATGACGTTTTTTGTTGGTTTGTTTTTTGTTGTTATTGCGCTGCTGATCTCCAAGCAGAGCCCGCACTCATAGTGGCGCGCGATATCCTCTACGCAGATGACACGTTGCTTCTTTCACGACACGCTGTAAACTTGAACGCCTTTCTGGTGACAGTCGTTGCTGAGGGAGAGAAGTACGGACTGGATTTAAACTGGGAGCAAGCAGTTCACATGAGTTTCCCGGCCGACTGACGAGCCGATCAAGTGAGTCCGCGAAGCCGTTTACTTTGGTGGGCTGATCACGTGCGACGGGAAAGCGACGACCGAGGTGACCCGGCGATTGGGGGAAGCGATTAAAATTTCCAAGATGTTGCCGCGTGCGCCACTTGCAAAACAAAGTCGAGACATCATATATTCCAGCTGCTTGCTCAGCAAGCTCATGTACTCCTTGGCTTCTTTATGGTTGTTAGAATCAGACAGGTCGAAATTGAACAGCTTCCAATGCACATGCTTGCGCCGTTTACCTGGTGCTCCCTACTCTTTTGTTTCTCGCGTTCGCAGTAGCGGCGTGTTGCAGCGAGCGTCGTCGACACCGTTATCTGAGATCCTGAAGGGGCGCCAGATAGTTCTGTCCAGTCGAATCGCCAGCCCCCCAGACCCATCCCTGATCAAAGACATTTTGCGCGATGCGAACAGCATTCCCGAAAGCTGGGCACGCCGTCGGAAACGAGGGCGCCCGCGATAACAATGGGCGACTTCTGTGTATGATGTGTCTTGTTTGTAACTCCACTTCGCATGCTCCTTGTCGTCCTCCTCCCTTTCCCCACCCGCTCCTCTCTTTCTCCTGCTGCGCAGTAATGATGCGCGCCGTTCTTCTGCTTCACAGTCGAGATGTTGTGCTTTTAAATTTCCACAAATAGCTGCCGATCGTGCGCTCTTCTGCCCACGCGTCCTTCCGGATGCTCGGCTCAGCCAGCCAGCCAGCCAGTCAGGGATCCGCGCGGTCTCCTGGGTGCGCGTGGCACTCCATCCCGCTGGACCTCCCAGGAGCCAACGACATCGGCGACCGATGGAGCCACGAGGTCTCAAATGGGCGCGCGGGGTGGAGTCAACGGAAGCGGCGACAGCTGCGCAGTTCGCAGCCAGCACGGGAGCAACGAGGCTTCAAATGGGCGCGCGGGGCACTCCACCGCGCTGGACCTTTTCAGGAGCCCACAGAAATTGCGACAGTTGCAAATCGCAGCCCCCCCAGGGATCCGCGAGGTCTCGGCTGGGTGCGCGTGCAGGAGCAAGTGGCGGCGGTTGCGCACTTCGCAGCCCCCCCAGTAGGACAGGTATTAGCAAAGGGGGCAACGGGGCAACAGGCAGGAGGCAGGAGGCAGGAGGATATTGGAGGAGGATGGTGGAGTCAGGAGGTGGGGGAGGATGAGGAGGGGGAGGACCAGTGCAAACCCAAGATTCACCAACGAGGTTGCACCCAAACTTCAAGTTTCCCCTTCACAGGTCCCTGCAAGGATTCGCTTTCACTGAGGGAAGTGGCCCGTTGGAATACAACCCCTTGAAAACCCGGGACTATGCCAGAACACCATTCCTGGGACTTCAACGCCGCGAGTCAACGCTATTGTGGCGTCCTGACGACGTTGATTCGTGCCAGAACGCAAGTCTTGCGCCCAGGAGTTCAACGGTGCGAATCAACGTGACGGCTTCGCCCTTACAGTAGAATTCTTGAACTTGCTGTAAGTTCTTATGACGAGTGCGCGCGGCCCTTGGGCGGGAACCTCATTTTGAAAACTTCCCGCCCTTCATCCGTGAAACGGTGTGTAAACTTTGTAGACGAATGTGCGCGGCGCTCAAGCGAGACCCACAGTTTGAAAACGGCCCGCCCTCCATCTGTGAAACTCTTGCAAGTGTTTAAGACGAATGCGCGGCGCTCAGGCGCGAACCGCATTTTGAAAACCACCCGCCCCCCATTTGTGAAGCTGTTGCACACACATAAGTTTAAGGATCCTCAGTCGTGAGGAAGTCTAAGGCGAACCGACCAGCGGGCCCTACCGACACGTCTCGGGTTGCGACAGTATAAGGAAAACAGATGGATAGAAATGGAGACTACTGCGATCTGTTCATAACGAGAACCCGACACAGGAGGGTTGGGGGGAAACATAGCATGCGAACTGTAAACAGCTGCTCCCTGAAACGGGACGTCACTGCTCCTGCAAACCAAGATATGGCGACGGGGCCAGGAAGCAGCGGCG